GTCATTGGCATTTCATTTTCATGTGGATTTCACTGAGTCTACAAATCCCATTAGATAATACGGTCATTTGAACAATATGAATTCTACCATGTTCATCAGAACATGGGAAGGCTGTTCATATTCTAATGTTTTCTTTGGTGTTCTATAATTTTCATTGTAGGTCTTTCACCTTCTTGATTGGGCTTGTTCTTAGGCTTGGGGTTTTTTGTTATTGTTTTGTTTATTTGTTTTATTTATTTTATTTTTTTGTTTATTTGTTTTGGAGTTATTGTGAATGGAATTTTCCTGATTTCTTTCTGAGAAGATTCATTATCGGTATATAGAAAAGCTATTGAGTTTTGTGTGTGTTTGTGGGTTTTTGTTGTTGCTGTTGTTTTTTCCTGGTACTCAGGTTTGGCTCCAGGGCCTTCACACTGAATTACATCCCCGGCCCTTTTTTGTTTTGAGACAGGGCCTCTGAGTTACTAAATTGCCCAAGGAGGCCTTGCTCTTGGGATCCTCTCACCTCAGTCTTGCAGAGGCCCTGGATTGCGGTGCTCAGCTTGCATGTTGTTTTCTGTCCTGACACTTTACTGAATTTGTTTGTCAGAACTAAAAGGTGGAGTTTAGGATCTTCTGAGTAAAGGTTTATATCATCGTAAAATAGGAGTAATTTGACTTCATTTTCTATTTGTATCTCTGTTATTCCTGTCTCTTGCCTAATTGCTCTGGCTAAAAATTAATCTATTGAACGGCATGATGACAGCGGATGACCTTGTCTCATTCCTGATTTCAGTTTTTCTTCATTTAGCATGATCTTAGCTGAGGGTTGGTCATATATGGCCTTAATTATATTGAGGGAAGACACTTCTATATGTAGCTTTTTTTATCATAAAAGGGTATAGAACTTTGCAGAAGGGTTTTTCTGTGGCTTTTGAGACCACTAGATCTGTTTAGCTGCTCACTTCACTGGGGATTCCCATGTTTGCCAGGGTTTTATCACATTCTCTTAAATTTGTCTAGCTACATGACAGCTCTTTTACTTCAAATACTGTATTTGGCCTAGATCTGAGTTGGGATGACATTCTGTCTTCAAATACAGTGTGCATTCCTAAAAGCAAACAGTACCACCAGATTACCTTGCGCACACGCACGCGTGCGAGCTCACACACACACTCACAGGAAGCCATGTCTCTTTTTTCAGTACTGGTGTTTGAACCCAGGGCCTTTGCACTGAGCTGCATCCCCCCAGCTTTGCCGTTTTGAGCCAGGGTCTTGCTAAGTCACTAAGTTGCCCAACTTTGTGGCCAGACTTTCACCCTTCCTGTGTCAGCCTCAAAGAATTCCAGGATTGCAGTGTGTGCCACCACATCTGGCTACTTTTCTACCTTTTTCTTTTAAGTCCAAATCTTTAAATTTCGCCATCCTTGCAAAACTCCCAAAAGATTCACTGAAAGTAATGAGTGGGTTCACATCTAAAGCGGATGTATCTTTCCTTCTTCTCACATCACACAAAATGCACATGCTAGGTTTACTTGGCATCTTCAGTTCCCAAACCAGCTAGATTTTTTTAAACTAGAAGATGTAGGGGAAAAGTTGAAAGACAGGAGCTTTACCATCTTTCATGACTTTCTAGTCCCTTTACTAGATTTTTCCATAAGGCCACAGCTGATGTCCCACCCCCTCCACCCCCTGGACCCCCTTCTGTACTGTCAAACCCAGGGGCATTCCTCCACTGACTTATATCCCCATTTCCCTTTTAAAATTTTCTGAGACGGGATCTTGCTAAGTTGCCCAGGCAGGACTTGAACTTACAATCCTCCTGTCTGTCTTCCTCCGTGCTGGGATTTTTCTTTCCTTTTAAAAGGGGAGACAATTACGCAACAGCGTGTGTCTGTTAAAGTATACTTTTTGTATATTTGTACTCTTACAAACCTAACCACACTTCCATTGCCACATCAAAAAGTAACGGTGATTTTGTAACAGCAAACATTGAGACCGTGTTTTTATTTCTAGTGGTTTCATAACGTCAAATGTTTATTGAATTAAAAAAATCAAAGTCCAAATAACTCCCACATCTTGTGAATGTTTGTCATTTTGGATTTTGTTTTGTTTGGCACCAGGGATCAAACTCAGGCCCTTGTACTTGTGAGGCAGGCGACAGAACCACTGAGCTAAATCCCAACCCTTGTGATTGTCTTTCAGTTTCTTTTAATGCACAGGAATCCTCTTCCATCTCTTTCTTTCCTAGCATCTTATTATAGACACTCAATTGTAGTGGGGGCATAGTGACACATGCCTGTAAATTCTTCATCCTGGGAGGCTGAGGCAGGAGGTTCCTAAATTGGAGCCCGACCTGCGCAACTCAGTGACTTAGCAAAAGTAAAAGGGGATGTAGCAAGGGCCCTGGGTTTAATCCCCAGAACCACCAAGAAAAAGAAAGAAAAAGAAAACTGAATGGTTTGTCCAGTACTCTTCTCATGGCTGAATTTATGGTCATGTGTGGTGGTGCAGGGCACACGATTCTGAGATTTGGTTGTAGCCATGCTGATCTCTAGACTTAAGTCAGCAAGTAATTTGACTGTATTAATATAAATCCCATTTTCTCTCTTTTCTGAAGAAACACTCCAGATAATTCTCCAAATAGCACATCCATTAAGTTCCCCTATTGTACATTCTCAGTTAAGTAATTTAGTTTCCTTGGGGGGGGGGTGTGTTAAAAGAAAGTTTAATGCAATAGTTTAAATACACAGTTTGACAAAATCAAGTCATTTCAAATGCACACATTGCAAAGAACTAAGAAGCTTGGAGGGGCCTCTGCTGGGAGAAAAAGGCAGATTCCTGCCCAGAGCGGAAGGACACTGACCTCAAGGACTCGCTCCATCCCACCAGGGGCAGCCATAGCCCCTGCGCTCTTGAAATGCTGTGGATGTCTCCATACAGAGGGACAGCAGTGGAGTCAAAAACAGCCTCCAAGGGCGGGGCTCTGCCTTCCCACCAAAGACGGGCGAAGACTAAAGGCACTGGGGGCTCACACACAGCAGACCAAGGACAGGATGGGGCCAGCAGCTGTGCCCGTGGGGAGACGGCAGCAATGGAGATCCAGCTCCACAGGCTGCTCTGAGTGTAGGTGGGCAGGACTTTTTAGTGCCTCACCTGCCTCTGCCCAGGGGTTTAGTGTGTTCAGACTAACTGCAAAGAAGAGGGGTCTTCTGAAGCTACAGGGACGCACTCAGTCTGTGCACACCAAGTGCTTCGCTAAGAAGGACCTGTGTGTGACCCTGTCTGGAGTAGGGATGGGGACAGTGCTCCAGCGTCACACTTTAGCTGGAGTGGGGAGCTCTGTGGCAAAACACTGTGCTTGACTACAATGGACTTAATTTGAAGAAAAGCCCCACAAAGGTGAAAGGCTGCTGCCTCTTAGGGGCTGGGGTAGGCGGTGCTTCAGGGCTCCCTCTGGGGTGCTGGGTTTCAGGGGTGGATATAGAGGGGAGGCCCTGGCTTCCCTGGGAAGGTCAGGTAGAGTTCCTGCGGCTCTTCTGGATTTTCACTTCCTGTTGCAGTTTATGTGCAGGGCTGTTCCTGGGCTCTGTCTGTAGGAGGCTGCTGATGTCTGCACGGCTGGATTTGTGGTCCTTGAGTGCTTTATAGGCTCGAGCGCGTCTATAAAACGCCTTCTCATTTCCCCACCCAGCTCGAGGGCTGCTGCACAGTCCTTCACGGCCTCCTTGTACGGCTTCAGGACCAGATGGCAGAGCGCTCTGTCGCTGTAGGTGGCAGATTCCAGATTACTAAAGAGGCTTTCGCTGTACTCTCAGTAGCTTGCTTTCTTATGATTTCCCTTCTCGACAAGCTCATTGACTTCTTCCACCCGAACTCCGGCTCTCTCCACATCCCCAGCAGAAGGCACTCTACTCTTCATAGCTGCAGTTTCTCTGGATTTGCTTTTAGCTGTCTCTTTGTGGTTCTCTGAAGGCAAGGAATTCCTCCTGTTCTGGGCTGAGACAAGCACCACGGGGACAGCAGGCAGCTTCAGGCGCCATTCAGGCCCAAGTGGGTCCGTGAGCGCTCTAGTCATTCTGTGGGACCTCCCAGGGCCGACACGACACTAGTCAACCTGCAGCACAGTCTCATGGTCGACACAGGCCAGGGGGTGCCTCCCAGAGCCTCAAAAGCAGAGGCTCGCCGCAGCGGGGGCTTCGTGCTGAAGGGAACCGAGGCCAGTGCTGAGGTGCAGCCTTTGATGCAGTCCACGGTTTCCATCCTTTCAGGGTCAGGCCGCTCTTTGCTCCTCAGGGTCTGAAGGACCTCAGCGCCCGGCGCGCCGGCCACTGTGGAAGCTCTGATTGCCAGTAGCGCGGGGCCCCTCCACGGAGACTGGCAGTTTGACGGCCATCCCGGCCCGACCAGCCGCGTTCTCCCACGAGTGGAGCCTAAGTAAGTAATTTACCTTCGAAGGACGTTGGCAGGAAAAGAAACTCTTTCTTGACGTGCATTTCTTCCAGATGCCCGCTAGGGGGAGACATTGACTTTATTATGGTTCGATTTCAAATTGGGTCACAGTTTTTTTTTATGTTTTTGACGAGTTGAACTTCATTATCTAATGTGACTTCTAATCTCACTTCTATGAGATGCGACTGTGTTTTGTGTTAACCTAACGCTGTGTCTTTCACATCACTTCTCCCTGACTCCATTCCCAATTCTAACCATCAGGCGGCAACATTGCCTGAAGACCAGAAGAAGAAAGGAAAAATTAAGTGAAACTACCAAATAAAAAGCGGTTTCACGGGCGAAAGGACTATTAATTTAAGAAGGAAAGAGACAAACCAGTCATTTCTTAGTTGGTACCCAACTCACGGCCCAAGGTCAGAACTGTGTAAAACACACCACAAAGGAGCCTTTCAGGCGTGAGAGCCGCCTGGGGACAGGCACACAATCCCGCCCTTGATGACGCGCTTGTGCCCAAAGGGTCGAGGGCACGCTCGTGCACGCACGTGTGAGTAGTAACCGGGCCTGCGTGGGTCTGCCGGAGGCGGGGGCTCTCCGGAGAGCCGCGTCTGGACGCGGGTCCTACACCCGCTCGAGCTTGCCGGAGACCCCCGCTCGCTTTCCCCAGAGGACGCCGAGCCCCAGGCCAGGTCCGCTGCTCTCGCCTCCTTACTCGTCCACCTCAGACTAAAGGAGTCCAGCCGGCGGCAGAAGATGCTGTGTGTGACACAAAGCTGACAGGTCAAGCCAAGGATCCTTTGAGAATCCGACAAGTTAAGTCACCCTTCCTCCCGCCAAAGTATTGCTCCAAAGAGCGGGCGTCAAACTACAAAGGAGTGATGGTGCGGAGGGGATCACAGGCCTCCCAGAGCCTCCGTCTACCCGAGGACAGGTTAAGGAGAAATTCTGTTCGGTCTGGAGCCCATGGCTCACGTACGCCCAGGAAACCAGACGGATTTGGGAGGAGACGAGGGAGCGCCCCGCCTCCCTCCGACGCAGATCGTCTCACCTCGGCAAACGGGAGGGGCTGGGCGAAAAGTCAAGGTAAGAGGCGGGGCGCCCGGCTTGCACCCCTCCTCTATGTCCCCCCCCCCAATCCCATCCAGGGCTCAGCAGCAGAGGGCTTTGCAAATCCCCAAAGCCTTGATGGCCGGAAGGGGGACAGCTCCCTGTGGCTTTTACTTTTCGTTTTTCTCGCAGTCCGCAGCTCCGCAGCCTGGTGCTCCGACCCCCCTCTCCGGGTCCCCGCTCCCCACCTCCCAGCCTGCTGCTCGCGCGTCCCCCTCCTCCACCCGGGTCCCAGCCGCTTCCCAGACCCGCGGCCTCCAGCCCCGCCTCCGCCGCCGCGGGGTTCCACCCCGGACGGAGTGAAAGCTCCATCGTGCCCGTCCCTCTCGGAGATCATTGGTGCAGCCGTGCCAGTCGCGGTCCGTGATTGGAGAACCGCCCGGGCTTATTTGCATGCTGGCCAGGGCCGGGTACCCAGCTGTGCTGGCTGCCGGCGCCTGGCAGAAGTTTGTGGAGCGCATTCTCGCCGGCTGGTCCCGGACTCGCGCTGCGCTCGGCGCCGCCGCCTCTCGCCGCCCTGTTGTCTCGGGATTCCTTCTCTGGCGAGGACGGTCGC